TTTTCTACAGTTCAGAAATAGATTATTTAAAATATGACATTACATGTTTGCAATTCATGAAGCCTAGAAATATTTATTATTCCCTGAGTCACAGCATCAACCTCTTTATACTTCTGAATAAGCAAACAGTTGAGTGGCACTAAAGCAGGTGTTTTACTCCACATAAGTGATTTAGTCATCGTTTTGTATTTAATTGTTAATGCATTACAGCAGCAGGCAATATTCAGCATGTTCAGGTGAATGCATGTTACACAGACAGGGTGCTGAACTACTGCAGCAGCACAAGTGGGCTGAACAACTGATGGCCACAGAAGAGCTGAGTTTGGAAGGCACTTTTGGAGGTCCTGGAAAAGCTGCAGCAGGTTGCCTGGGACCACCTCCAGTTTGGTACTGAGCACCTTCAAGGATGGAGACTCCACAACTACTCTGAGCAACCCATTCCAACATTAACCCACCCTCACAGTAAAACAAAAGTTTTTCTTATATTCAGATGGTATTTTCTGCGTTTCAATTTCTACTAAGACAGTGAATAGGGGATATCAGAAGTGAATGCATAAGGTGGAGGAAAGGTAAAGATAGGTAGTATTTGAAAAAAAAAACCTCTAATATATACACAAGCAAGACTGTGTAAAACAAAGCTGTGATCCTCTTCCCTACTAAAACCTTCCCCTTGGCTTTTAAAACATTTCTAGAAAACAAACTATGCTGGGATGATTGTCTTCAAACACCTGCATGCAAAGACCCATGCTTCATAGCTGTTATGTGTTAGAGCAGCACTAGTTCATTTTACCCGCCATGACAAAGCGGCTGTCTTCATGAACAGGACCCCCAATGACAGGCCTATGAAATTTCATTTTTATGGACACAGAAAAAATTCTCAATCTTACACTTCTGTCCATACATGTCAGAAAGGGAGTATTCACAGCCACAGATAAGACACTATTAAAACAAGTGTCACTCTTAAGTGCTATTTTTTCATTGCAGATACACCATTTTTCTTCCGCACAAACATCCCTACGTTTGTGGGATATTCATATCTTCTTGGTATGAGAATGAAATAATTTCTGTGTCTGTGCAATGTCTCAGGAAAACTAGAAGTGTGGTGGGTATTGGCCAATATCCTGAATAACTTCCTCCCCTTCCAAAAAAAAAATTCTTCCATATGCACAAACTGAATGATTTTGCCATTATTTAGTTTTAGTCTGGGACTGGTACACAGTACAGACAAGCTGGGAAGGACATGACCCACTGGCAAAAGGGTTTTTATTATTTTCAAGGCAGGTAACTGCTTTTGACACTGATTTGCTTCTGAGAAAGCAAAGACAATGCCTTTCAAAACAATAATTTTGTTTTGAAGAATGATTCAGGTCTGCAACAAGGATTTGTATTGCACCTTGAGTCACAGTAATTACCTGCATATCCAGCAGAAGTACATGATTAATAAAATAAGCACCAACCATTTCTGCTCTGCAAAAGGAGTGTTGCCAGTATTTTTCTATTACATGCAAACAAATTACCTATAAAAAGAAAATGAGCATCACTTAACCTGTGACTGACAGGTAAAGTCGAGGTGCTTACTGTTTCAAGCTTATTAAATTGTAGGAGGGTCCAGAAGTACTTGAGTAGCTCTGGTGCCCTCAAAACACCACCTTAATAGTACAACTGTTAACACACGAATGAGACTGTATAAGCAGAGAGCAACGACCCCAAAAGGGAGGCAAGAATCTCCCCAAGAACACTTCAGCAAGGAGGGAAAAGTGCCAGTTGTTGCAGAACTTTGTCTTCTTGTTTCCAGCACTTCAAACACACATATTCTTCACACTGTATTTAATTTGGGTCTGTCATTGCCATATTTTACAATTTGCTTGTTTAGCAGGAAGAAATCAGGAACAGAGAATAACAAGTAAGGAGAAATTGATCAATGCACACACTTTCAGTGTGAAACACTAAATGTATTTTGAACTTCCTAGCCTGGAATTATCAGAGGTGCATGTTGGGATTTTTCCTGTTCAGAGCAGATTAACATCAGTTTTTTTGCTACATAACTCCACAGTGATACTCACTTCTGTTTCATGACAAGGCTCACGTCCAGCTGGACGCGGCCCAGCTTCAGTATATCACAAGAGCAACATGGGAAACGCAAGACTCAGCCATGGGGATCAGGGAGAGGACGGCACCGCACTGCGCTCTCCCATGCTGCGGAACTCAACTCCAGCTGCTTAAATATAAATACGATGCCGGTTTTTGGACCACTAAGGGAAAGTAAATGGTTTTAAAGACAGGGAAGTTATTAAACGAAAGTGAAACTACGCCCTAGGAACCCTATAATGGGGCCCCGAGACGAACCGGCACCGCCGTGCCCTGTGGGGAGTCGGGCCGTGACCTGTCCTTGCCTCAGAGCGCCAGGCAGACGACGTTCTCGGACCGCCGCCAGCCCTCACGGCCGCCCCTCCCCGAGGAAGACAAGGCCGCCTCGCCCCAGCCCCGGGTCATCCCGGGCCGTGGCCACCGAGGCCGCGAAGGTTCGTCTCCTGCCCCGCCGCCTCCCTCCGGCCGCGACCCGGTGCGCAGCGGGGCCCAGCTCGCTCGCGTCCCTCTCTGTGCCATCACCCGCCCGCGCACGTCCCTCACCGGCCAGCTGAGTCACAAAGGCCTCCGCCACCAGCGACATGTCGCGACCGGCGGGCTGCAGCAGGCCGACGACACGCGCATGAACTAGGCGCGCGCCGCCGGGACAGCAACTGCATCCGGGGCCCGCCCCGCCCCTGCTGCGCGGGGCGGGGCCCGCGCCAGCTCCCCCCCCCCCCCCCCCCCCCCCCCCCCGTACCCGCGCCGGTCAGCGGGACGGGGAAGCGGTACGTTGAGCAGGTGTCTGCTGGTTGTGCGTGTTTGAAACAGGCTTTCCGCGGTTAAACGGTGCTTAACGGGTAGAGAGAGGCTTTTGCGGAGTCACTCATGGAATGGTTTGGGTTGGAAGGGACGTTCAAGCTCGTTTAGTTCCATAGGCAGGGACACATCCAGCTATACCAGGTTGCTCCAAGCCCCGTGCAGCCTGATCTTGGAACACTGGCAAGGATGGGGCAGCCCCAACTTTCCTAGACAACCTGTTCCAGCATTTCACCCTTCTCCCAGTAAAGAATTTCTTTCTTGTATCTAACCTAAATCTGTCTCTTCTAGTTTAAAGCCTTTGTCCTAGCACTACAAGCCCATGTAAAGTATCCCCCGTCAGATTTCTTGTACTGCTTTAGGTATTGGAAGGCTGCTATCAGCTCTTCCTGGAGTCTTCATGCTGAACAAGCCCAGCTCTCTCATCCTGTCTTCATAGGAGAGGTGCTCCAGCCATCTGGCCATCTTCATGGCCCTCCTCTGGACTCAGTCCAAAAGGTCCCCATCCTCATGTTACTCCTCTCAGTCAATCCAGTCTGAGGAAAAACCCTTTGAATCCACATCCTGTGGAAACGTTACTGAGGCCAACTGTATATTCAGCCACAGTGTGGTAATTCTCGTAACTTGGAAATACAAGCACAAGACGAGTGAAGACAAAACTCCTGTCTGTTGAATGGTAGGAAGAACCACTGGCCAATATCCAGGGACAAGGTTGCACTGGACCAGTAGAGCAACATCAAAAGAAACATTTACAAATTCCGTGGCTCAAAATCCCCTGTCACAGGGAATCCCTGTTACTGATAGAAAGTCAGCTTAACATGCTCCACATAACATGTAGAGGCAATATCTTAAAGGAGCTGAAGACACAAGTTCACACTATTTTACATTTCCTTTTTATGAAGGAATCTCAACAGGGGGATTTGTGGGTTGGTTTGTTGGGGTTCTTTTGGTTTGGGGTTGGTTTTGTGGTTGAGTGTTTTGTTTGGTTGTTTCTAATTCAATGTAGAAAGAGCTGTTTGGAATGCTGTAACCAGCTCTAGAGTTTCCCAAGAAAGGTGACTCAAGCCATCTTAAGTTCCTCTGCCACTCATCTATGTGGAGCTCTGACACACATGAAGGTTTAATCACATTAGTTCTCTGAAGAGATAGCTAAATCTGGTTTAGAGCCTGAAAGCAGAAAAAGGTCAACCGCTAACTGCCTGAAATTGCAAGTTAATTGCAAGTTAAAATTCTTCCCTGACATAAACATGAATGAAAGTGATTAGTTATGGCTATACAGCTTCGGAATATATTGCTCCCCTGGATTGTTTCAGAACAATGCTGGACCATTTATTTTTTTTTACCTTTAAAACACGAATGATGGAGGAGAGGAGGCAAATCCATCATAAAATGATCCTAATGAAAGGAGGATGTTCTGAGAATCTTAGGTGCTTTCTTTAATGACCATACTGAATATTTTGTTTTCAACATCCTGGTACCTAAATGCTTCCTAAAGTGTCCTGTTATAACTAAAGCTATAACTAAAAGGTCTCAGTAAATGATACAGCTGCCTTTTCTTCACCCCAAGTTAATATTTCAGAAAAACTTCATTTTGAGACATACGTCTTGCCTTTAAACAACCACTAATTCCTTAGTCTTAATTCTAAAAGGGCTATCCAAACTTTGGAAAAATGACATAAAATTATGCATCCAATATGTAGGTTGCAGAGAAGATAGTGGATATGTGAAAGACTTACTCCATTATCCTACAGTGCCTTTTGATCCTCATCTCTTTAGACACTTCAGTAAGAATTAAGACTATCCCATTTTATGAAATAGACTTAATCTACTGCAAAGGATATAACATAACAATATTTCACTCTCACAAGGTAAAAGTCTTAAATCCTGCAAGTACTAGAAGATAGGGAACAAATACAGAAATGCGTTAATGTTTGGAAAGAATATGAAAGTCCTCTGGTGACACTTTCTGTTGAATCAGTAAGCATAATTATTAAATATATTCTTCACTTGGTAGTTTAAGTGTGCTATTAGAGCAGTAGCAAAAGCAGAAGAGACAGTAAATAAACTGGAACAGAGTAAGGACTGAAACAGTGGTGAGGAAGAAGACTGATTGTTTTCAAATGTTGATGAAAGCTACATTTCTACAGTTGCAAGCTGAATAGCACCCAAATTACAGAAACTGAGCAGTCTTAAGAAGTTGAGTGCCTTTGTATTAGGAGATTGCAACAGTCTAAATTAAACTGGTATGTCCTGTTTGAGTTCTTTCTTCACCAACAGTACTTAGAAGGCTAAAAACACAAGACATGATGCAAAAGTTGCCCTGATAAGGCTGAGAGTGAACTAGGTATGAGCCAGGCCAAATCCTCATATTGACACCCAATTAAAGAGAACAGTTCCTCTGTAGAGGTCAGTTTGATACAAAAAGCTCAGCTCCAGAAATTAAGGTGGGTGATGGAAACTGTCAGGGAACAGAAATCAGAAAACAATTCATCAAGTATCAACAAATACATACCAACAGAAACACATTGACAAATCCAAACTGTTTGCCAAACAGGATGAAAACTGAGTGGAGCTGAGCCCATGCCTTGACATGTCACAGATGCTCAGGCTCCCTTCTCTGGGACAGGAGATCAGGACAGCGGTTTTAGTTTCAGCATTCCCAGTCCTCCTCCCTGCTCCCACTGAAAGGACTGTTTTAGCAGAGTGTCTTGTAGGAAAGCCTCCAGGAAGATCTCCAGTAAAACCAATTCCATCACCACCTTCACCTTTATTTTATAGGCTTCTCTCCTCTCCCAGCTTTTCGAGAAAAGGCATCACTCTTGTGCTCAGTGCAGAGAGGAGGCCTTTACCATTTAAGGTGTTAATTAGTACAGTTAAACTGCCCACTGGAGAAACAGGACTAGGCTATATATACATATGCTCCATTGCAAATAAAATGGAATTTGAATAGTATTAATCTCCTGCCTAGAAAAAAAAGAGACTGTTCTTATTAGTTCCCTCAATATTAGACAGCTTAACATGTATTTAATTTGTATTGTTCTTTTGTTCTGTGGTAATATTTAAATAAAATGTATTACTATCAATAGTGGATACCTAAACCTGCAGTACAAGTCCTTTGCAGACAGAATTATTAGGAATATTTTCACAAGAGGAGTTGGAAGTGGCAATGAAAGACTTTCAGTCTGTTGCATTAATTTAAACTGTTTGGTTTTTAACACAGCCACTATTGCTGGCCATTCAAATTACAGTCTAGGTGGCCAAGTGTATGGCAGGACATAAGATTGGGCAAATCGCCAGAAAGCAGAGGCATTTGAATGAGTTTCTCTAAATTTGAGTTCTGCTAGGTGTCACATGCAGTTCTCATTCACTAAGCACATAGCAGGTTAAGTCCAATTTAAGGTGGATACAATGGTTGTGTGTGCCAAATGCTGACAGCAGACATTCCTCTTTGGAGGAGGAAGAGGACACTGCAGAGTTTTCCTGTGTTGTCATATGGTCATGACCTTATTCATCACAAGACAACCAGCTGGGGCCACGTGCTGTTCAACAGACCTCACCAGAGCACTTTCTCAGCACACAACTGGGGACCTCTGTTCTCCATTTCCATGGAGCAGGTCTCTAACAAGTCAGGCCTTTCCAAGACACAGGAGGAGCACTGACAGTCATAGATTCAATTAGGAGTGGCTCTCTCTGTAAGAGAACTGTATGGCAATTTCACCGAGTGAAACCTCTGAAGGCTGCTTGTGTGATATGGCTGGTGTTTGAGAATAGGCCAAGTGGTAGCAAGAGACGGCAAACAAACCAGCACTGAAATGCCTTCTCCTTGCCTGGCCCACAGCCAGGCTACCCCTCTGGTATAACTTAGGGCATCCTGGGAGCTGCTCTGCATTATGCTGCCTGTCAGTGTCTTTAAAAAGCTATTATGGCTTCTGGGAATCTCTGCAATGAAGGAAGACTTGAGTAAATCCTTCCCTGCCAACACATACAGTGCCAGGCAGCCGCAGGAGGGTGTTTTTAGCATGACTTCACACCAGAGGTTCTCTGTACACTAAATAACCTGGCAAAGTACACAGAACAACAGAAACAGATGGATCTGGACTAGTGTGATCAAATGGATCTCACAAGGCATTTGGTGTATCTTTAATTCGAGTGTTTGCCATTTTATGCAATCCACTGCTCTTCAGTGTAAGAAATGATGCTAAAATGGTCCAAGTATGAGCCAAGTTGCAAGTTTCAATTACACACACAGTCCTGTGAGTTTACTAAAGAGGTGCCATTTTATATGAGAACCTGAATTGAAAATTGAGGCCAAACTCACCTCTGCAGCTCCTGTGCACTTCCTTGGGAAGTTGGCATGTATACCCTGTGGTAGCATTCCCAACACAATAAAACATTAAGTTGGCTTCACAGCAGTTCAGATGTATCTTACAATAGTTTCACACTATGATCACTGCATGTTGTTGAGTGTTCCCTTATTTTCATAATCAGGCAGGTACAAGTTTTAATCTAACAGTTGTATAAACAAGATAAGATATAATTTCTAGGAACACGCTTCTATAAAAATGCAATAGAGTATTAACACTAACCACTTTGCACTAATGGAAGATACTGCCTACTAAATTGACAAATCAATTAATGCTGATGCATTTCCAACAAGCCACATGAGGACAGAAAAAAATTTCTTGGAGTTTTAAAAGGCACAAGAATAGCTTTTATGAAAGCAAACAGGATCTCAGACTATGTACAAAAAACATTAGATGAACAATTTTCTCCTTCCTTTCTTACCTCTTTTCTTGCCTTCTTCCATGCAGCAGGGTGAGATTTTTCAGGGGTGCCAAGTCTATTTTAGCACATCTGTCATCCTCACAGCTGCACTGAACAGGCATCAAAGGAGTTGTGCTGAAATCCCAACTTCACTGTCTCACCCACTGGAAGCATTACCAGCCCCCAGGCTCTTGCATATCCCTGTCATTCACAGCAGCTGCTGAGCAGCTTTCCCCATGCTCTGAAATAGCCAAGATATTGAAACCAAACCTTGATCTTCCCAGCTTTACCTAAACTTTCATGGAGAGAACTCTGCATGTTAGCACTGCTCACAGCCCAGGCCATCAGGCACCTCCACGGTGAAAGGAGTGTCAATTCATAGGTCAAAGCCCAGCCAAAGAGGAACCATAACTGAGCAAATAGAGCAATTGCCTTAGGCTGAGCTTTAAATAGATCTCCTGGACCACTGGCAGGTTGTGATGTGGGTGCCAGGTGGGGCTGATCAGGCCTATCAATGCCCCCAGCATCCTGGTAGTGTCTCAGATGCAGGTGGAGCATGTTTCTAGAGCAGTGGGTTTCGCATAGCTTAAGCTATATGGGACCAGGATTTGCCTTTTAAACGATCTCAGATCAGAGGGGACTGCAAGCAGGAGCTCTCAGAAGGGAGACAATAGCTTCAACAGGACTTTGCCCTGGTTTCCATGCCAAACTGACTCTATCTTTGGCTCCCTTGGATCCAACCTACATGACCAGACTACTCCCATATTTGTCTATCTTTTTGTAATTCATGATTGACCAGACACAAATAAGTCTGTTTTCTTAAAGCATGGATCACCACTGCATTGTCAAACTGGCACAAATGTCAAAGCCACAGTCATGACTCCAACAAGCAGTCGCAAGAGCTGTGAGGGTTCATCCTGATATTTGTGTAACTCATAGTGCAGCAAAATCCAGACCCATCTTGTTAATAAAAGTAGGAATAATAGTTCACAGTTTGACTGTAGGCACTGGTTAGGCAAATCTTCTCAAACTCTAAAGATGTTATCTGGAAAATTAAAGAGCTGCAATTGAAATCAGTTTCTGGACAAGTGTGGTAAATAATGAGGAGGTTTATTAATTTATCAAAGCTTCTTGTGAGCGGGTCTAAATCCTTCTCTGGAGGCAGGCATAGAAAGAATTAACTTTCTTCTTCTTCCTGTAGAAATTATCACAACTGCCTTGCCTGAATGGAGAGAAGAAGCAGCTGTAATGAATTATTTATCTGTAGCACACTGTAAGAAGGATGTGCTGTGATTAATTGTAGAGCCGGGCAGGAAATGGTTTCCTTGTCCCAAAAGATTTTTGAGATTAAAAATGTGTTCCTGTTGCACACTGGGATAAAACCAAAACCCCTTTAGAAGATTTTAGAAAGAGAGAGAAAGCAAGAGACCTACAAAAATACTCATTTGTCCTATGTGTGGCACTCTCTTGAAACATGAAAGCCCAACACAAAATCTTAATGACTAAGAAGAAAGTTTGGTAGAGAATTCATGGGGTCAAACCATCCCATTCAACCTCCATATCCTTGGGGAGACCAACACACTGGAGCAGGGACTTGAACATTGTTGACCTCACATTAATGCTGTCTCTGCTGAGCCGGAATGGGGCTTGTCTCTTGGCTTTTTGTGCTATCCCTCTCACTTCAGCATAAGAGTCATACTGGTTCTACCTGATTGCTTAGTCCTTAGGGAAGCAATCTGTTATTTATACTGACTTTTTTTGGTTTTACAGCTAAATGCTGCAGAGCTGAATGACCTTTTATAAACTTTTTGCCTCCAGATGGGAAACCTCCTTTTGTAAAAAGCTTACGTGGAATTGACTTTTTATTTTCTGAATCATTTCCCCCATGTGTCTCATAAATAAGGCATAATTTTCCCTATTGTTATTTTATTTTTGCCAACACTTCCAATCTAAACACGTAGCCTGACTATACAGGAGTACCCTGCTATATTTTTAACTGAGGCTGAGTTGATTCACTAAATATGACATAGCAGAAACTTCAGAAGTTGAATCTATTCCATCTAAAATCATTGTCTTGCTCCATAAAAGGAGCAAGAAAGCTTTGCCGTATCTTCATTACAGCTGTAGAAGTTCATACTTCACATAGTTTCTCCCCAGGGTACAACTGTGGTAAGGAAAAAAATCACACTGACTGAAAGAACTTGAATGTATATAGATTAAAAGCATATGGTCTTTTTAGTAGCGGGCATGAGCTGGTGAGGCTGAGTAACTCCTGAGATTTGTGAGGAGATGTGGCAGATCAGATTGATCCTTTTTCTGGAACCAGTAGAAGGGTGTGAGAAAAGCACCAGGTGTCTCCTTTAGTCTTTTTTGAGACCAAGCAACCAGAAATAAAAAGTAGTGCAGCAATGATTTTACAACATTTTTCAAAGAATATGCACTTTGAAGCCCTTTGAACACTGGGAGATGGAAAAAGAATGCCTGATTGAGAAATGTTTTGAGCCACATGAGCCAGATTCAGTTTCTATGCGTGCGCAGAGAGCACAGGCTATCTGAATTCCAGCTCAGTCCGGCTAGCAGCCGTGTGTAAATGTAACTTCCCCAATCCATCACCGCCTCTCAATTCCCTGAAAGCTGGCAAGAGTTTCAGGAGTTTCATGGTTTAAGCCCAGCCTGTAACTCAGATCCATGCAGCCACTCTGTCACACACGCACTCCGGGCAGGAGAGGGAGGAGAATTGAAAGAATGTAAACCCCACGTGTTAAGATAAGAACAGTCAAATAACTAAGGTATAATACAAAACTACTACTACTAATCATAATAATAATAATAAAGATAAGGAAGTAACAAGGAGAGAGAATATAAAACTAAAAGAGGAAAGGAAAAAATCAATAAACACAAGTGGTGCACAATACAATTGCTCACCACCCGCCAACTGACACCCAGCCTGACCTGAGCAGTGATCTGTGCCTTCCAGGTGACTCCCCCCAGCTTACATACTGGAATGGTGTGCTGTGATATGAAATACCCCTTTGGCAAGTTTGGGTCAGGTGTCCTGTCTCTGATTCCTCCTGGCTTCTTGTGCCCCTCCTCACTGGCAGAGGAGACTGAGACTGAGAAGTTCTTGGTCAGGGTAAGTATTACTTAACAGCAACTAAAACACTGGTGTGTTATCAGCATTGTTCTCAGACTAAAGCTGAAACACAGCACTGCAGCAGCTGTGAGGAAGGAGAAAAATAACTATTACCACTGAAACCAGGACAAGGAGTAATGTTTTTAAGATCTGAATTAAATGTGTTTAATAAAATGAATACATGGACTTGCCAGTATATTTCAGCTCTGGTACAGAAGACGTACACTAATGAGTCAGATGGCCAGTCAACCTGGACTATCAACATGGTTGAATGCAGGCAGAACCAATGCAAAACAAGCCCTGAGACTGACTAACCCAGCAAACGTGAGCAATCGGTTGCACTGCTTGGATATTATGCAGCCACCAGTGATGCTCAGGCTGATGATGGCTTTACGAAACAAATTGCAGGCTGGCAGTGTCTGGTGTCCCTGTCTGGATGTGACTGTTGCTGACAACTTCCAGGTATGCCATCACCTTTTTATTAAATACAATGGATTTTAAATTTAGGAAAAAGTCTTCAGAAGAACAGGTCAGAGCCATGCTCTCCCAGTTCTTGAAAGCAAGGCCATCTGCCTCTGGGGAGGATGAGCTCTGTTGCGGGACTTAGATCACAGGTGGCAGACACAACAACATCATAAATGACACTGACAACATGCAGACAGGACATAATTCTTTTTTTCCTTTTTTTTCCTTTTTTCTTTCACAGTTATTATTAGCTCTAGAGTTGTGATAATCCTTTCCTCATGTGGCTTTTGCGGTAACAATTCACACTTGTGATGTCCCAAATCAGATTACCAAATCTATTTCATTTGGTACCACATTTGAAAAGCAACCAGATGCACCAGGTGGACCATTTCTTAAGTGAGACGTGATATTAAGACTGTTCAACAGTCCTGTCCCATTTTTTTGCGCTGTCTGCCTGGTCACATTAAAATGAAAGTCACAGTGCTCACAGTGCTGGTTACAATCACAGCATTTTACAGAATCTTGGACCTGTTATAAGACATCTCCCTGTTGTGTGAGCTATGTTTTAGGGGCTAGTCTCTCCAGTAGGAGAAAACGGCTTTGATAACCCACTGGTGTCAGGTACCTATGATGTTTCTACCCAGCTGAATTTCTAAAGAGAAAGATAGATGTTGTTTATTGATAGGGCTTTATCACTGTTTCATAATTATCATTAGATTTGATACACTCTGATGTTGAAGAAAATGTTATCCCACATAAATGGTATAATTTATAAATCTATAAATGTGTGTGCTTTAAAAATAATTATTCCAATATCTGTGCTTAACATATGCATCTGATACTAGAGACCGCCAGGATTAGAAATTGTTTCCATTATCTGAACAGTAACTGGGCAAAATCTGATCTGAGTAGTCATTAAAAAATTTAGTGAGATTTTTATCTATTTTCAAATACCACTATCAACTTTATTGTGTTTAATCTAGCTTACTTGTTAAAGGAACATAAAAAGGGGCATTAGAACTGTAGATTTAGTGTAGCACAACCATTAAGATGAAGAGTAATGGCTGGAAAGCCTTAGCTCTCAAGGTTCTCCTGCTGTATTAATGTCACCAAAATCATATTACGGGGATGCGGGTATTTTTTTCTCAGGCTGTATGGGCAGAAGGAATAGTTTCTTTGCCCAGCAGAAGCAACTCTCCTGATCCACCTGAATTCACATATGGGTGTAATTCTATGCACACCCACATCAGCATGGATCGATGCATTGCCAAGTTCTTTGTTCTCTGTGTAAGGGAACAAGCACCCAGGTTAGGTATGTCCCCCATGGTGGTAGGTGTTGGAGTCTCACTCTTAAGGCCAGGGCCAGACCGCTGGAGTTGGACCTGTTACACGTTTTCACAAGGCATGATATGCTATCCTGGTTAAAGGTGCCTCGGTTTCCAGAATAAACTCAAAATTGTGGTCTATTATCTGTAACACTATGCTTTTTGATGAAGTGTAGTAAAAAATATCTATTTTCCAGGTGTTGGGAAGTCTGATGGGCTGGTAGAGAATGAACTGACTGTATTTGTTCATGTATTTGTTTGTTTACTTAAACTGCTTGGTTTTCAATCTGCTAATCACCAGGATCTGTTGCTTTTTAAGGAAACAAAAACACAAGAAAAACAAAACTGTTTATGAAAAGGTCTTTTGTGGGCATGTGGTCTAAATGTTTTCAGTATAAAGGAAGCCTTGTTCTGCTTACAAATAGTTGTAAGGACTGTATCTTCATCTGAGATTTTAACACTCTGTGCAGACATAAGTTTAAGACAAGGAAGGTTCACATGTTGCACAGCTGAGGGTTAGTTACTTTGTTCACTTGGCTGGCGTTCAAGAATAGCAAATAATTTCTGGATAAATGTAAAATACAATAAGACACTGGCTCCGGGAAATATCTTTTCCTATACATTGCCCATAATTATTTGGGGGGCATTTTGGAGATATGGCTGGGGGAAGAATGAATACCAGACTTTGTTACTTCAGGGAGCAGAGTTATTTGTCATTTGGTTCACCTTCCTTTCTTTCAACAGGGTGCTTTTCCCTGGACAAAGACTCTTCTAGTTCACTGACATTAAGAAAAGTCATAGAAAATAACGCTTGAGATTGAGTCATGTATGTAGCCATATATCACTAATAGAAAAGAATGTGTTTCCCCTAAACTTCAGTCACCTCTTAGTGATAAACTGGTAACAACCATGTCTTATTTGGGGTTTCTCTCCATACCTCTTTCTCCTTGGCCATCGGGGATTTGCAAGTGTTCTCGGGATTTCCTTGGAATTTAGGCTGAGTAGTGCAGGACACATCATAAGTATGATTTATTAGGTGTTAGAGACAAGTGCTTGGAACTACAAGGAGGTCTTTCCATTTTGTAACTTTGCCTGCAAAGGTTTTTCTTAAAAGAAGTAATAGTCTGTTCTCCTCTACTAATAATCTGTACTGGTTTATGCGTAAGCCACCATTCCAGGTTTTACCAATAAATAGAGGAAATGGCACACTTTTAAAAGGAGATTAAAATGTGGGGATTGGGTTGCATATTTTTGTTTTCTGGTTTACTGCTGTGTTCTGTCATGCTCGAAATAAACCTGTATCTGCAGTTTATACCATATCCTGGAGTCGTTGGTTTGACCCTCGGCAAAGCATTCCCTGTGCTGTATTTGCAAGCAGTAACATTCAGTTCTGCATGGAAAGCTAGATACCAAAGCAAGCGTGGGTTCTTGCCCAAGCTTGGTTTTCAAAGAGGTGTGATTTTCTGTTATCAGTTACCTATCCAAAGGATATGAATTCTCTACATTCACATATACCGCTTAGGAACAGTAATTTTACAAGTTTTTTCTCCTTGGAAGCCTTCCAAATCAATATTTTTGTTCTGTTTCAGGCAAAATGGGAACACATGAAAAATATTATTTTGTTCATATCCCTTTGTAGCCTGTGGCCCTTTGAGCAACAGTCAGTAGGCAAAAATTAATATATGACTGAAAGAGAATGGTCTGTGTTTTCTAATGATGTTTGAGAGAAAATAAGGCCAGGAAATAGTATTTTCATAACTTGTGATAAATTATATGGTGGTGGGTATTTTGTTCAGATTGCAGTGAGAACTGCAGGTTGTGCTCTTACTTCCATGTGCCTAATCCAAAACCTGTTTCCAACTGCTAGGCTTCAAACTGAATGTGTGTGAGACACAATTAATAGGATTAATGTTAAATGAGGGAATCTTAGACCTTATCTATCATTTATTTAGCATTTAATTATTCAGGAATTAGCACATGACCTGCATTAGCTCCTTCCTCTGGGTATCTTGCTGACAGAACAGTGCAAAGGAGCAATATCTAATCCTCATACAGCTAAAACTGCTGGTGAAGAAGAAAGATCCTATTAAACTGGCCCTGTCATGTGAGCAGAAACTGCACTTAATACTAAGTACTGGCTCTTAAGGCAGAGTACAGTTGTGTTCATAACAGCAAATTGATTCAGACTGCCATAAAAGTGTTGTAAAGTTTCATCTTAATTTGCAAGTAAATATGTATTCAGGCTGTGTCATTTTGATGGATACAGAACTGTGCACTGCTACAAGGCCTGCACATGTATTTATTTATTCGGGAAAATATACCGCATGAAAACATTCATTACAAAAGACTTAGTGTGCTGTAATGGCTTGATCCAGCACCACTGAAATCAATGAGAATCTTTCTTTCCATGTTGGTAGCGCAGGAACATGCCAGCAGGATGGAAAACATTCCTCTGGCCTGAAGTGCCCAGCACAAATGTCAAAATCATTAGGAAAATAAAAGGCTGACAAACCGGCAGTCCCATAGACATGTGACAAATTTGGAGGTAACTGAAAACACAGCTGTTTTATAAAGTTTGCGTGTGAACCATATGCTCTTAGAAAGATGGGCTATTCCCACTACTTGTCCATGCTTATTGCTGTTTAAAAACCAAAAACTATCAGGAGACTTGGTAGATATGTACCTTAAGAACACCTGAAAAGGGTTGATTAGTAGTTGACTTGACTTTAATATTCAGCTTGTAAATCAAATTTTATTTCCTTGAGTTTTTATTAATTTTACCAGATTTTGTTTTATTCTGCTTTAAATAGCATCTTCTCAAAAACAGGTGACAGAAATAATTTTTCCTATTTCTTAATGAATGATCAGCCTGCAGTGTAACACTTGTTTGGTGTCATTACTTTAATAAGGAATTGAAAACTGTATATTTTGGTTGCAACTAGTTCCACACGAGTACTTCAGTCCTGAGAATTTTTCAGTGATAACCTGTGAAGTGAATCAGTGGGACATGAACCGTAACACCATATACAGAACAAAAAGGTCCCTGTGTGCATGCACAACCGCGAGCCTTTAGCCTTATTGTACTTTCCAGGTACAGTTGCGATATGATGCTTAACCAAATCCTTCTGTCTTAGAAGGTCCTCTCCTGCAGATGCTCACTGCAGGGGCACCCACCTCCTTGCCAAGGAGGCTGCTTGCTCATGCTCAGCCATGGCATCATCCCAACATGCCTGCCTGGCTTTCGGAGCACACTGTTTCCCAGGACTCCTGCCAACCTCTACTGAAGCTGCCATCAGCGATGGCTTCCCAGTCCAAGGGAGAAATCTTCATGGGAAAGCTTATAAGCAGAGGGGTACATTGGAGAATGGAAGGTATTACAGAGAATAAGTATCCCCAACATTATGGACTTTCTGACCTGAGACATCCATCTTCATCTTCTGTCTTGGTTTGCCCAACAAGCACTCAACAAAAATCAACAGCTGTTTGTGTCTGGGGCTGGCTTCCAAACAGGAACTTGGTGCTCACAGGTCCCCTGAGATACATCTCCCCTCCTGCTACAAGTTGTTCTTCACCCAGCAGAAATCCAGAGCAACAAATGTGCTGTCCAAAATCATTTTGTCTCACAAATAAATAAAATCACCTTCCCATAAATCCAGATGTCATTCTTCTCCACATTCTTGTTATGCTTTCCAGTTCACAGGTAGGAAAAGAATCTAAACTTGACTCTTCTATGCACTTCAGTACAGTTATTTTACCTCTGGGAAAGATGAAATGGGGACAAGTGAAGAACACTGGTGAATTTTGCACTCGTATGCGGTAATCAGTTGTTCTTTTTGAATGGTAAAAGACCCAGGAATCCTCTTGGTCTTTCGCTGCCAGAGTTCTGTGGTCAAACCCAAGCATTATTCTGTACTTTAACAGGTCTTGAGGTTTCGCATGTAATAAGACTTGTTGCAAACAGATTTCACATGGTGCATTTCTTTAACTGTAAGATATAATCAAGCCTGCAGAGCTGGATGATCTTACATCTAGATGCTGTAAGAGGTTTTACATTGTCTTGTCCTTGCCTAGGCACATGCAAGAGGTGCTGGAAGCCAGTGGAGTGGCTGCTGTCTGGTCCTGTGCAGCCTCTGTAAGGAAAATCCCAGCACCTCTGCAGTTTGAATGAGGTGCTCCTCCTTAGACTGACTTTCTTTTAAAATCTTCCCTCACGGTTACTAAGCAGATTTTGGACTAAACTAGCCGCATAAGGAATAGGAACGAACGAGGAATAAATACAAGCAGAAACAGCATAATTTTTTGCAGCAATTTTGCGAAGGGTAGGGCACAAGACAAGGGCACTTTTTCCAGAGGGGATCCTGGACTCATACTCCTGTGAGAAGTTTTCCCTGCTCTATTCTGCTCTGCCTTCTCGGGCTTTCCCCCCTTCTTCTGCATGAACTCTGCCCTAGCCTGCGTATCTCTCCTTAAATGGAAAACGGGGAAGGGGCCGGCTGCTTGGGCAGCCGCCGAACCCAGGGCAGCCGGTGCAGCGGCAGTCCCCGTTATCTCCAGGCTGTGCCAGCCCGCTCCCACGGGCAGAATTTGAGCAGCAGCGTTCCGGGCTGGCACTTTTCCCTGAATCCTCATAAATAAAACTGTAAATAAGTTGCAATAGAGAAAGAAAGAAAATACCAACAACCACAGGGGAGCTGCCTCGCCGCGGTCCCGCGCCAAAGGGCACCGCGAGTCTCCCGCCGGCTGCAGCATCCCTCCCTGCCCCGACGTCCCCGGCGGACCCCTCCGTCGGGGGCCGTGGGGCTTCACGCCGGGCCGCCCAGGGCATCGGCGGGCGCGGCGGTGGGGGCGGCCAGCGCTTCCCGCTCCCGCTTCTTCTGCTTCATGCGGCGGTTCTGGAACCAGACCTTCACCTGGGCGTCGCGGAGGCGCAGCGAGCGGGCCACCTCGAGACGGCGAGCCCGCGACAGGTACCGGCTGAAGTGAAACTCCTTCTCCAGCTCCGTGAGCTGCCTGGTGCTGAAGCTGGTGCGTGCGGGGCAGGCGGGAGGGTCCCCCCTGCACGGCGCCGCACCGCCTGCAACGCCGAAAAACACCGCGCTTCAGCGGGGGGAAGGGGAACGGAGCTGGGCGGGGGTCGGGGCAGGAGGGGATCAGAGGGGAGCTGGGATGGGAGCAGCCCCCGCCCGCCCCCCGCCGCCCCACTCACTTCTCCCGGGCGGGCTCCGCTTCGCTCGCATCCACTCGAAGGTGCGGGGCGCCGCCGGGGCCGCCGAGGGGGCCAGGGAGCCGGGCGGGGGGACACCGCCGGGGCAGGAGGGGCCGGCCTCCGGAGGCGTCGGCGGGCGGCCGCTCCCGGGGAAGATGGATGTGGAGCAGTCCGACGGCCCGGCTCCGCGGGACGGTCGGTAGCTGGAGCCCGGCGCCGCGGGGGCGGCCGCCGTGTACCCCGCTGCCCCTGCGCAAGCAGCCGGCGGCGGGGCTGACGCGGCGCTGGCTGCGGTGCCCAGCGCCAGGAAGGTGCCGTCCGCCAGCCGGGAAAAGGGTGACTCCGGGGTTCCGCGGCACAGCCCCGGCGGGAAGGCGAGGGGAAAGTACCCCAGGTCCATGGCCTGCGGGGCAGCACCGCTCCCCACACCCCGCTGGGGCAATATTTCCCTAATATAGGGCTGGGAGTGGGGCGGCACGTCCCGCCCCGCGGCCAATGGGAACCCTGCGCGGGAAGCCCGCACCGGGGGTCCCGGGCGCCGAGGGCTTCACGGCCCACGGCCACCCGCCCAGGGCCGGTGCGGGGCTGCGGGTGGGCAGCACCCCGAGCCCTCCCCAGACCCCGTCGGGACAGACCGCTTCCCCTGGACTGGCAGGGCTCCCGTCCCAGGGCAGCTCTGCCCCCTCCCCTTGCCCTGCTGTCGGCCAAGCCCCCGGGAGCTTCCACGGGAACCCGCGCGGCCCGGGGGAGCAGCCGGGGGAGAGGAGGACTGCGCAAGCACCCCCAGGCTGTCCGCACCCGGCTGGGGGATGCTGCACCTCGCGGCACTTAATGGTCTCGCTCCATCAGATAAGTGCTCTGCAGCCTCTCAAAAGTGAATCCCCGGGCTCACCCCGTTAATGGGCTTTCATTTTTCCCTAGGCGATTCAGTACTGTTTACAGAGCGCTTTCACCTGGCAGAGACTGCAGCAAGCTGCACTGCCCAGGCAACCACTCCAACTCCCTCTCTTGGTTTCATCCCCTCAGAATGGCAGGCAACAAGAACAAGTGCGAAGGATATGAAGCCTGGACTCCAAGAAGGATGGTCTTTCCCTACATGGCTCCAAGTCACACTTGACCATTCAGTCTGAGCTACACATGCTTGATTTGGATAATGATGAGTTTTATCTAACTTGTCAATTGATAATCATAGAAACATAGAATAGTTTGGGTTGGAAGGGACCTTCAGAAGCCATCTAATCCAACCCCCCTGCAATGAGCAGGGAATCTTCAACTATATCAGGTTGCCCAGAACCACATTCAGCCTGCCCTTGAATGTCTTCAGGGATGGGGCATCTATATACCTCTTGCACTCAGGCAAGTGAAGCCAAGACCTATTTCCTTGTGGATGCAGCAGGAAATTCAACCACTAGAATTAAAAAATTGCTTGCAAGTTGCACAAAACTCTCCTTCTAAATATAGCAAGAGGTTGGCCTTGCTCCCACATGGTGCCTATCAGGATAATTCCTGTAATGATCAGCTGCAAAATTAAAATTAGGTCTGTTCCATTAAACGGATTTATCTTGATAAAAATATGTCAGGAACTCACAGGATGAGGGAAATAAAATAGAAAAAAAAGAGGTATCAAGATACTTTCAATTGCGATTTGAAAGTGTATCACTACAAAATGTGGGAAAGTTGTCCCAGATTATAGAAGTCAATCATTAAGATGCCAATACTTAAAGATCACTGTATTGAAACATAACTGGAAATCTGATGTGGAGGGAAATAAAAACATTCATCTCCATAAGATCCCTAAGCAGTCCTATTATAAATTATGCTTGCAGAATTAGGAAAAAAATAAGTCTTTGTTACAGGTAAACATGTGTGGGCCCCAGTAGCTCTTACTTGAAGTCTTTTAGACCATGTATGGTGTGGACTGCCATGCACACGCAGGAAAACTGTTAGTATTCCCACCTTAGTATAGCTGCATTACGTACTTTGGAATCAATATGACTGCTGAATCCCTCTTAGAAAGAGTGATTTGCACATCCTCATCTTTTACTATTTCACCCTATTTACTTGATTAATAAATGAAAGCCCCAAAACTATTCTATCTTTATATCTGAGAACTGCTTTAAGACTTAATTTTCTTATCTTCCCCACAAGGAACCTACTTTTAATGAAACAAATTTTAGTTTATGGATTTTGAAGAGCATCAAAATGGAAAGGATTTTTTTTTTTCCCCTCTCCATAAAACCTGTATTCACACTGAATACAAAATGTTGTGTTTAGTACCTCACCAGGAATGGAGGACTCATACTAAATTTAACATTTTACAGAGGACTGTTCACTCTGTACAAAACTTTGAGTTCAAACAAGATTATACTTTCCTGACATTACCCATACTGCTGAGATGTACCTGAAGCATTTTTAAGTGACTGATAATCATGTGTCAATGCAGTTCAGAACAGCAAAAGGGTGCTCTGGGCAGAGCACACTTGGGCTTCAGTGACTTGGGAGTGGACAGACAAAGAACACGAGCAATAGCTGCATCATGCTGCTTCAAATTGCACATGTAACCTTCTAAGTCTTAGGAAGTGGATGTGAAATCAGTTGGGAAATGCAAGGTGGTACCTTATAAAAAAAATATATTTCTGAATAAAACCACAAACTTTAAATGCCTTTATTCAGTGCCTTAGACTCAACAGCCCAAATAGCTCAATAAACTCTTGGCCAAAGCTCTGCTTGTTGTGGTCAAGAAGAGGCCACAGATTTTGTGAGGACCTGACATGGTGACAACCAACCAAGGGCAACCAGGATCTCCAGAGAAGGAAAAGTTACACAAGGTCTTCCACAGATTTCAGAGGGCTGGTAGCAGAGAAGGGACACCATTGGGAGACACAATCAGACCATTGGGAGACACAATCAGACCGTTTCACTGACTCAACCTCAACTCTTTCCCACAAAGAAGTGCTCTGCAGCTCAGCCCCAGCTGCCCCACTATTACACCCAATTGAGGGTTCACAGCAGGCCTGTTCTATTTCTTTCCTGCAGAGGCCCTGACATGACACATCCCTGGGACAGGCAGATGCAAGCCCACAAGGACAGAGGTGTGCTTCACTGCGTATGGGCTCTGATCAGTGATGTCAACTTCCGTTAGCCCTGCTTTCTTCCCAGCTCATCCAACCCACCTGCTATAAAGCAGCTATTCCAGAGCAAAGGCTGGCTTTGCAGCATTAATGTGCTTGGGACTTGGGATCTACAGAGCAGTCACTGGTAAGCACAGAGACACAAAGTTAGGTGTTCTCCAGACACAGTCTCATCTATGCTACCCTGCTGCACTAGTAATGGGATATCACCTATATTTCTATTTGGTTGTATACATTAGAAGAAGAGTTCAAATTAAATATACCTTGTCAGGAAACCTACATTTTGACGGAGGGGTTAAATTATGGATGATACAAACTTGCTCAGCACACCCACGGCAATCAGAGCAGTTGGGAAAATGTCATCTTCTGGCAAAACAGAAGCCTGGGAACACCAAGCTCTTTAGCAGAGAAAGGCTGGCCATGTAGGAGAGCATCTGTGCTTTTCAGTCTCCCCTGCTGTAAAAACTCTTGCCTGCAATGAAGCAAATAGCACTGGCTCTGGAGGAGGGTTGCTGCTCTACTTGAGTCTTCTGTTTGCAGAACACAACTGGTTTAATTACACCTAAAGCTCTGTTTTAAACGCTAGAAGAGCTGTCCATGTTCACACCAACATACGATCTTTCCATTCACACAGCTGGATTCTGTTACTGAGTTTCTTGTTCACTACCTGTTTGTTTTTGCAGGACTGTTCAAGGGTGAGGAAAGCAGGAATCAGTAGCTAAACACAGGCAGAGCATCTCTTGTTGCTGTTTTGGCTTTTGACAGGGATCTGATTTTCTATGCTTCTGAATTTCACAGTGTTCATACTTATATGGCTAAGTCCCAGTGATAGGAAATTGAGAGACTGCAGCTGGTTTTGCTGTTTTTTTGCAAGAGGTCTAATAGGAAAGAGTCCCTGGAAGTCAAAAGGAGGAAGAAGAAAACTGAGTTAAAAAGAAGGGTGGGAGGAATGTGATGCTGTCAAAGGCAATTTGAGAATGGCGGGGAGGTTTGGGGATGTCTGTCAAGTAGTGCAGTGATGGCACGAACCAGAGGAGCTGCTGGTCCAGAAACCCCTGTGAGAACAATGGACCAAACCAACCCCTGTGCCACCACACTTCTGGGAGCACATGGGCCACTGCAAAGCCTGACACAGCCACTGGGAAATTAAGATGTGATGTAGAAACAAGCCCAGTGAAAAAGCCCAAAGCCCTGTTGAATGCAGATGCTTACCAGCAGTGCACTGAGGAGGCTGCTTGAGCAGCACATGCATGAAGGCAATGGCAGCCCTGAGCCACAAGGACTACTTTGAGGTTGGTGCACATTGCCTTTCCTCTCTGGAGTAAGCCTCCACCATCTGTGCTTGTCTCAATAACATACAGGAGATTCAACAGACCCCTGCTCAACCCCGTTCTCAGGAAAATGATACAGAAGGTCTGATTAAAGCATGGCCTTGTCCTTGCCCCTCTGCTGCCACAACATAACAGCAAGAGAGAGCTGGTTCTCAGCGGTATGTGGGGATGCACTCCATCGTGTGGAGACAGCCAGGGCATGGGTGGGCATCCCAAAGAGAAGGAAGCAAACACTGCGGATTTAAGCATTGTCCCTGTTAACACAGGCAAACCATAAAAGGCCCCTGGAAGGAAGGCTAGCAGAGAAAAAGGAGAAGCTCTGGGGAGTTTATTTTGTACAGTGTGAATAAAACCAGGGATGTGCAGAGACCCCAGGGCAAAGAAGGGAAATCATTCTGCCGCTCTGGGGTGGGGCAGGCTCAGCTCCAGCACAAGCACAGCCCTTCCAAACAGGCAACGCATTTTGCGCTCTTCCTGAGGAAAGCGTGTTTCCCTCTGCCATCAGTATTTCCCTGCCACAAGCTCTGCTTTCCTGGCTGACCCCTGGGGCAGTTTCACCAGGCCTGGGACAGAGACCTCTGCTCTCACAGTCTGTGGGATTAACTATAAAGATCCTCCACATGAACACAGAGAAAAGGAGTCTCTCCCTCATTCTGTAAAGATTTGCCAAGAAGAGTAATTCCACTCGAGCCCCTGCGCCATGTAATGCCATTTTCTGTCCCATGGCTATGAATTTTATAGGAAAATATACATGTATGGATAACCCAGAGGTATTAAGGTAAGCCATGCTGCTCTGTGCAAAACAGAGATGTTAAAGGGTTTGCAGCCAGGATTTCTGCTTTGCCTAGCCCTTCTTACTCCCAAAGGTCCTAAAAAGTGGCCCAAGTTCCTTGGAGGAAAGATCGTTACTACAAAGGGGCTGGAGGTTGTCTGCCCTCTTCAAAACTTCTGCTGTTGCCAGAAAAACTGCACATCAACAAACTAAAAAGAAAGAAAGAAGTGCTCAACTTGTACATTCAAGAGTATTTTTACCCAGAAGACTCCATCCTACTAATAGTACAGATCCCATGCTGATTACGTTCAGCTTTGTGCTTATGATCATTGCAGCTGAGCCTTTCTGGGTTCAAGGAGCTCCAGGATCCTAGGCTCTGAAGGTGAACACAAAGGCCAAAGTCTGCTCCCAAGAAGTTTCTGCAGAGGTCTGTGGATGTGCTGCTACAGACGACACCTTGCTGTGTTCCCTTTTGCATCTCAGCCTTTCTGACCAAAGGGGCTCCGTCCCATCCTGCCATATTACTCCATGGCTCTGGGGCTCTGGGACTGGGCTATTCCTCTGCTGCTGGAGTTTCTGATCGAGTCCCAGCTGGCTCAGGCTAGAAGAGAAGTCAGAGGAACACTGTCGAGTGAAAAGTGTTCATCATGTGATTGATGACCCTTAATAGAGCCAGCCTCTTCCCTCCCCCACCAGCTCCACTGCCAGCCAGGACCAAGTTGCCACTGCTGCTGCTCACATGGGAATGGAGAGCCTGTTCAGGGATTAACCTGCCACTCAGTCCCTGGAAAGTGGCTGCGGCCAACAGAGCTGTGGTCCAGCACATCTAATGCCTTTTAAAAGCAGAGGTAGTCAGTTCGTCTATGTATAACATCACATGGTGCCCAGCCAACCACCGCAGCCCTAATTGCCCTAGCAGCACCAGCCCCTTTGTGCTGCCCGTCTGGCTCCAGCTTTTGTTCCCAGGCAGGTCTGCTGGATGCCTGGGCCTCTCCACCACACAGCATGCTGTGCCTTCACTGGGCTGCCATTGTGTGTGGCTGCTGGGCACACACAGCAGGCTGGCACGTAGAAGGACGGTGTTGTGAGCTGCAGCTCCTTCCCTGCCTCCCTGGCTGACGGCTGTCAGTGAGGCACCCTCCCAGCAGGACCCCAGCACCCCCAACCGCTTTACCTTCTTTGTTCCTCAGCAGAGTAATCCCTTCTGTGCCTAGACCTTTCTGCAGGCTGTTTCAGCGGTGCAGAGACCCCAGTGGAGGGTCCTGCCTTCAGACTTCTTGCCAACGGAGCATCAACGATCCAGTGGGTCCCTAAGAAAGTCAGGGGGCTTCTAGCTGATGCTGGTGGGCTCCCTCTTTCTTAGCTAGCCTCCGCTGCCGCCTGTCCTTGCCTGCTTTGCCTGCAGCCAGCTGCCTCCTCTTTACCCATGGATAGGTTGGTGCAGCCCAGACGACCCAGGCATGGTCCCACGGTGGCAGCCATATGGGGTGCCCTGGAATCCCTCCCTGGACCACCTAGGGACCAGGGCTGTAAACCCTACTTTGCTCAGGGACCACTTGCTAATGAAGCAGGATGCATTTGGTTTTGCTTCCCCAGCCTCACACAAGTGTCACCTGCAAGAGAGTGGCATCCCTGGGAGCTCCTGGCTGTGCCTGACTGGGGTCCCCTGCCCTGGTGCTGCTCACCAGGCCCTAGACAGAGGGACATGGATGGGACACCCCTCAAAAGAAGCAGGGTACAAAGGTGCAGCTCAGTCCTGTACTGACTGCACAGAGATGACACAAAGCTTCATCTCCTTTTGCAGCAGGGAAACTGCTGGGCCCCCATTAAATAGTGAGTTACCATAAGAGCCAAAACAGCAACCGGAGACCCAAAACCCACTGAACAGGGGAACCTTCACAGACTCACTGAAGCGCAGTACACCCCTGACGCCCCTCAACCAGTGCTGTCAGCAGCTTTCTATTCCAAACACTGCAGCAGTGCTGCCGACATTGAGAGGCCTTGGCTCAGTGACCCTGCTACGGGTCTGGAGCAGATGGAGGGAGCAGGGAAGGAGGGGAAGGGATGATGTGACTCCTACATGCAAAGAAAAGCAAGGCTAGGATCAGCCCCAGGCCTGGTCTTGGCTGACTAGTTGTGTTTTAAATAGGTGACTGGAGTTCATCACATCAGATGCTGTTGCAAAAGATCTGAGTTCCTATTGAGTGTGAAAGGGGGCTGTTTATAATTTATGGGTTTTAAATGATGGGCCAAGAAAAAGTCTGGCTTGTGCCAAAGTGTCTCTCTCCTCTAGATTGCTGATGCTTGTACAAACATTGTAAAAATGCCAGTGATCTCACTAAAGTAACATTGCTTCCAATAATTAAGTTATCATCATGGACTTCTCCTATGTCACAAACAAGACGCCTCTGCCGGAGTCACGGAGAAGAAAAGTGAATTTATTTACAAGATTTCCCCTCGCACATGCTCCTCCTCCCCCCCACTGGAAACTAAGTCTGCAAACCCCATCCTTCTGCAATACGAAAATATCTCAGAGCAGTGTGCCTCAGTAACTCTGTGTTTGTGGTCAGGGTTCCTCTCAAACCCCCTTCTTCCTCAGATCATGGGAAGGGCTACCTATAAACGGCCTTTTCTTTCCTAACAGATTTAATGAAGGACTAATCATGTAAGTCAGAGCGGACACTGTTTGAAGAGCAACCTACAGAGCATGGAGGTGGGAAACTCTTGAGGAAAGCACATAGGGTTACACCAGGAATGGCCCTGCAGAAATAGGGGTGCCTTGCCATTTCACATATAGAAGCAGGTGGTACAAAATACATGGTGTTTTCAAGAACACACAAAAAAACCCACATGTACAATCTCAGTCCTGGGTACATTGATTACAGAAAATTCTGGAGATACAAACATATATATATTTCTGGAATATTATAAAGTGTAATTCACAAGTGGTGTTTAGCCTTACTTTTTGCATTACTTGTATGTGGTTTTTACTCCCAAATGGAGCTTCTATGAAACAATTTGTGTGGAAAATTCCAGATAAAACAATTTTAGGGCTCAAAATGGTTAAAATATGTATCTGAACAAAGTAGTTTATTCTGTTCTGTATTGTTTACAGATCTACAACACATATATCCAAATTTGCTAGGGTAAAAGTGAAATTTAACAGAAGTTACACTTCTCAACATAGCACAACATTGTTAAAATTGCATGGAGGGGAAAATAAAACCTTAAGTAGGATTTTGAATTGTTACTGTCCAGCCAAACATAAATACCAGGAGGTGAGGAAGAAAGGAAGGTGAGGAAGGAAGGTAAGGAAGGTGAGGAAGGAAGGTAAGGAAGGTGAGGAAGGTGATGAAAGAAAGAAGGGGAGGAAGGGAGAAGGGAAAGAGGGAAGGAAGGAGGGAAAGGGGGTGGAAGGAAGGAAGGAAGGAAGGAAGGAAGGAAGGAAGGAAGGAAGGAAGAGAGAGAGAGAAAGAAAGAAGAGAGAAAGAAAGAAAAGAGAAAGAGAAAAAGAGTGAAAGAGAGACAGAGGGAGAGAGAGAGAAAGAGAGAGAGGGAGAGAGAGAGAAAGAGAGAGAGAGAGAAAGAAAGAAAAGAAGGAAGGAAAAGAAAGAGAGAGAAAGAGAGAAAAAACTTGTCTGTGTTGACCAGAATTGGAGGAGTTAAAATATTTCCCACAATAGGAATGCCATGTCCTTTCATTAGAGGATGGAGTAGGAGCTGCAGTGTTTGTCAGACTGGGAAGTGGCACGTCAGACGGGTTGGTGGGGAATAGGGAAGTTCGGATTTATCTTGAACTCGACACTTTTAGAAAGGTAAGAACAGTCTTCTCGGAGAGACGTGTACCGTCAGGAAGAGACTTTAATGACAACGTTTACAAAAGAAGTATCTGTAAATCCAGCGAGGGATTCAACACAGCCGTGTAACTAAAGAGGAGGAAACACGAGGGTTCAGAGCATCGTTTTGTGGTTTGGTTGGGGTTGTTTGTTTTTTTTTTCTATTTCTTTTTTTTTTGTATTAATTTTTATTTATTCCTCCTCGTGTTAGCGGTCCCGTTGGTGACGGAAGGAGGCGGCGATGCCCCGCAGCCGCGGTCCTGGGGGACGAAACCGTCCTCGTCGGGCGCCCCTGCCCGCACCCCGCCTCTGCGGCTGCCCTTCGGCTGCATCTACCTGATTGTCAATTTTCTTTCAAAGTTTATTTTTATGAAAAACAAGAGGAAAAGCTCGGGCTTTCAAAGATGTCTAAAAAATTGATTTATGGTTAGTATAAAGACAACAGTATAAATAACAAAGGAGGCAGCAGCTGCTGCGCAGATTGCTATGGAGACCCTAATGAAATTAGCACTATCAGAGGGTTTCTAATTTTTTTTTTTTTTTTTTGCTTTCTAAGCTTCTAATCTTTCCTATTTCAGATAGCCAGAGTGTAATTTAAAACAATAAAAAAGAAAAAAGAAAATAAAATAGCCCACCCAAATAATAATATGTGTGATAGATACCCAGTCAATAAATAAATGTTAACCTCACCGAGGCTTTTGTACGCAGGATTTGATCTGAAACAAGATGGCCAAGCGTCCCTGCTTTGTAGATCACCTCCTCCAAGCGGCTGTGATTCCAGCCAAGGGTGGCTTCACCCGGCCAAGCCAGCTGCCCCCAAGCCACCCCGGCGCTCGGGGCCAGCCAGAAATAAATACTTTTAAAATAATTCCGATACTATTAATTTTTTTTTAAAGTGTAACGGCTCTTTTGTGTGATGCCACAGTTTGTTTTACTCTATTCATGACTTACGACTTGCTGTCTTAATTAATCCTTACATAAACTACGAACACCAGCCACTGTTACAACTGTTCAAGACTACTCTCTCAACTAGCTCAGACCGAATATACTAAATAGGTGGAAATGTCAGTCACCACGGACCTGAATCGCTCTCCCGAAGTATTGGTGAAGGAACTCTACAAATACCCACATAAATACATTAAGACGAGGATAAATAATCAGTGATACAAAAATGTCTCGCTTAAAATAATAAATACATATCGTTTAGTCCAATGCGATCCTTACGTTACGGAAGAATTCATAAATTAACTTCTCTGGAATAAGTTTACGCGCGGGCGAGTTCCCACCGCTCACCCCTGCTCTAAAACACCTCAGCATGACGAGCTGCTAACACTACGGCATGTCTAAAACTTACCTTCAAGTACATCATTACCAGCTTACCAGTCCCTCGGTTTGCAGTATATTGCACTGTCATGCTTAAACACAGCTCTAAGAGAAAGGCTCCTGCTCGCGGACCTACCCGGGGCTGCGGAAGAAGGGAGCTGCTAGGGGAGACAAATCCACTAACACTGTTGGCACTCGAGAGCAAAGTAACACTGTCCCGTCAGAAAAGTGAGGTAATGGAGAGGGGAGCGGGCCCCGCCGCCCGCCGCCCCGCTACAGATGCGTGAGCTTGGGTGCCTCCTGCATCCGTCCCTGAGAGCTGTGGTGGGAGGAGAGGTCCGTGTAGGTGGGGTGGGGGTCGCAAGGTCCGTGGTGATGGCCGCCGGGGATCTGGGCGGCGCAGCTGTAGTCCACGCTGGCGGAGGAGGGGTGCTGCAGGTGCCCCAGGTTGAACATGGGGCCCGAGGCCGGCATCGAGTCCACGAAGTTGCCCCCCACGTAGACGGGGCTGCCCTGCAGGCTGGGGTTGGCGAAACCGCCGCCGCCGCTCTGCATGGGGTGGGGGTCGTACTCCGCGCCCGCGTAGCGCTTCTGCTGCGGCAGGCAGCTGCTCAGCGGCGCCGTGTAGGCGGCCAGCCCATACATGCTCTGCTGGGACTTGGCGAAAGAGGTGGGCGAGGGCGCATCGTAGCTGAGGCTGTTGACGCTGGGGAGCTGGCTGGAGTAGCCGACGTGGTTTGGGCCGCTCAGGGGGGGGCTGCGGTCCGGGGACTGTCCGACGGGAGAGTGCATGATGCCTTTGGCTTTCTGGTCTTTTTTGTACTTCATCCGGCGGTTCTGGAACCAGATCTTGATCTGCCGCTCGGTCAGGTTGAGAAGATTGGCCATCTCCACCCGGCGCGGCCGGCACAGATAGCGGTTGAAGTGAAACTCCTTCTCCAGCTCCACCAGCTGCGCGCTGGTGTAGGCTGTGCGCACCCGCTTGGAGGCCGGCCCGGGGGGGCTCTTGTCCTCGCAGCTTTCTCCTGCAGGAAAGAGGCACAAGTTGGTCCCCCCCCGAAAGCCACCCCGGGGTCTCCCGAAGCCCCCCTCGTTCTTCCGGCCCCCGGAGAGGGGGAGCAGGGAGTTCGGGGGAGGCCTTCCACCCCTTCCTGCCCTGCACGCACCGACCCCCGCAGCTGCCTCCCCCAGGGACCCTAGCTGCCCTATCCAGGCCAGTCGTGGCCGCGCCTTCCGCCACTGGGCTGGCGGGGGGAACAGGGCAGGAGCCTCCAGCCTTCCCCGCCTGCGGCGCCCGGTGAGGCTGAGACCCCCGAGCCATCTCTGGGGGCCATTGCCCCTGGAGGAGGAGGGGACATGGTGCAGGGCCAGGGGCTCAGTCCGAGAGGCTCTGCCCCGCTCCCAGGGCGGGCAGTGGGGCGGGTCGGGGGTGTCGGGCTACCTGAAGGGGCGCAGGTGCTTTTCTGCTTGGAGTTCTGCCGGGACTCCTTCATCCAGGGGAATATCTGCTTGCTGAGGGTGGCGGTGGTTGAGCCCGAGGAGTTGGGGCCTCCCTTGTTTTTTTTCGGAGGGGGCGCGCTGGGAGGGGGGTTGGGCGGGGAGGAGGGCGGCAGCGCCGGGGGCTGCTGTTCGCCGATGCCCGAGGGCTGGCTGGCCCCTGCGCCGCCCCCCGCCGTCCGCATGCAGCTGCCGCTCAGCTCGCTGCCCTTGTGGGCCGGGGCACGGCCGGGAGCCGAGCCCTGGACGGAGCAGGCCGAGCCGGGGTACTCGCCGTCCAGGCCAGCCTGGCCGTAGGACTGGTGGGTCGCGCCGTAGGGGTAGGCGTCGGCCTTGCTGTAGCTGTAGCCCCCGAAGAGCCCCGCGTTGTCGTAGTAAGCGGCTTTCTGCATCCTCCGCTCTGCTATCTCCGAGGCCCGCGGCCCCCGCTCAAATAACATTGACCGCCGCCCCGCGCCTCACGTCGTCGGCCCGGGCCACTCGTATCCACCTGGGAAGGGGGACAGTGGGAACACAAAAGAGACTTTCAGTGGGGGGCGACGGCTGGGAGCCTCCGGGCTGTCCCTGGAATGCCCCGCACCCCAGCACCAACGGCCTCGGCAGGGCCGGTAGGCCTTGGAGACGGCAGGGCGGGAGCAGGGGCAGAAGGGAAGGAGCGGGTGACATCCAGGAAGGAGCAAGGGACTCCAGATTAGGAGCATGGGGCATAAAGCAAGGAGCAGGAGACACCAGAAAAGGAGCAAGGGACACCAGAGAAGGAGCAGGGGGGATTAGGAAAGAGCAGGAGACACCTGAGAGAGGATCAGGGGACCCCAGAGAAGGACCAGAGTCACGAGGGAGTGAGCAGAAGACACCCAGAAAGGAGCAGGATCACCAGGTAGGAGCCAGGCCAAATTGGAGCACACCAGGTAGAAGAGCAGGGCACACGAGGAAAGAACAGGGGGACAGCAGGGAAGGAGCCACCGAGAGCAGGTGTGCTGAGGGGAACGGGAACAGATTGGCGGGACTTCCCAGGGTCCACTTTTTGAGTCATTTTGGGGAATTTTCTTGCTTTGTTCTGCCTGTGGACCCCAGGAGTTCGGACGAATCGCTCTCCGTGGTTGCAAGGGAAGGGCTCCCACTGAGCAAGGCGAGGCCGCGCTGGGTGGTGTTCCCAGCCCCCCCCCCCCCCCCCCCCGCCCGGTTCATTTCAGCCCAGAGCCCTCCGCGCCCCTCTCCCGCCCGGCACGCGTGCGCAGGGCCGCGCAGAGCTGACATGATGGATTGAGCCCGGGCTGCGGCCGGGCAGAGGCAGAAAAATCCCGTCCTCTTTGTAAACCCGCCCTCCTTCTTCCCCCGGATTCCTCCGGAGTTAAAGTGTAACCGGCGCCATTCACTCCCTTCACTTTGCACTATAAAGGAAGTCTCAGGTCAGCTCCCCTGTTTTATTTCTGTGATGAATTAAATTCCCTCACCCGGCGTTTCTCGTCGCTTTTATTTGTCCCCATTAGAAAGAACCTGAGAGATGGGAGATAATTTTTAGGGGGTTCTCTTCTTTTTCCAGCTTGCGAATTTGTGGCGCTCCCCTCCCCGCCTACCGGCCTCCCGATCAGACTGTTTAAGCCGAAAACGCACTGTCCCCTCGGGGCAGATGTTTTGGTCCAGAGTGCTGCTCCCTTTTCCCTTGCAACTTCCCTGCACTTTTTGCAAGATAGAAACTGTTCTGTGATTTTGTTGCGGCTTTTTTAATATTCACTGCCATTATTTTTTCTTGTGGGATAGGTTTAGTTTTAGTAATTTTGTAAAATGCCATATGCTTCACCTGCCAATGTAAGCCTGTAACTCAACGTATCTGCAGAGTTCGTTTTATTTCTTCAGGGTTTAAGCCTATTACCATACGAGAGAAGAATAGCTAGATATTTTTGACCAGTGTCCGATAATTACCGTTCTCCGGCCTATACTTGAGCAATACTACCAGGATACTGCTCTTTGTCCCGCAGCCTTTGGTACCGCCAAGTACCGCTCATCTGTTCCCTAAAATTCACCGGGATTATACACGTCTGTGTAATTCAGAATAACCTTAGCGATCTGAGATCCGCGGCCGCTCTCGGCGGTTTATCCCCTGTCACAAACCACCGGGGTCCTTTTCTTCCCTGAACAAAAGCTTGGGATGATCTGCGAAGCTGATGGAAATGGGAAAAGAGCTATTTTCCTCTCCTGGAAAATTTAGTTTAAAAAAGTTGTCTATGGAAATGGGCGGTGGCGATTCAGATGCTTTTTAATATGCTGTGATAATCTTGAAGAGTCCTGAAAGTATTTTTTGTACAAAATAATTCTGTCGCTCGTTTTCCACTTCCATCATCTACATTTTCGGGAGCGGTCTGGACTGAGGACTTTTGTTAGCACAACACCGCCTTAAGCGTGGGCTTTTATGTGCCTTGTGAAATATAGTTCCCAAAAGAATACGCAGAATCTTAAGAAAGAATATTGCTGTTAAGCTGTTAAAAGCCTTATTTCTTTTCTGAAATACCAACTGCTTGTGAACTCTGCTTGAACCTAAAAAGGAGGCTATGGGCCATAAATCACATAGACAATGCTCAACTGTTTGGTGGCTCATCTTTAGATCTTAAAAAGAGAGTGAGGGAGAGAAAGAGGGGAGACCTCTCCAGGGTTTGATTTTCCACGAGTGCAAGGCCCGGGGTGATGTTTTTATAGGTAACACCAAAGCAGGGGCTCAACACTTGGTGGTTTGGCCAGAAACAGCCTCTAGGGAAAAACAAAAAAAAAAAAAAAAAGGTGACATCCAAATGGTGGGCCCGAGCTGTGGGAGGTGGGCTCAGAGTCTCCAAGGGTAGGAAACCACGTATACATGCCTGTGTTTCAAATTTCCCTTCCTGCACTCCAGAAAGGTTAACCTTATCTGAACTGTTGGCGTTGGACACGATAATGGGGCTTTTTGTCCGTCCTGCCGCTGGCTCCAACGCTTTTGGAGGTTACCGACCCTCTCACGGCAATACCTGGGGAGAAGCCGGGAGCCTGAGCGTCCACAAGGCGCTTTCCTCTCGACACCTCCATATTAAGCAGCTCTCTAGTGAAACTTCCACTACACTTAATTCTGCTGAGGATCAATATCTAATATGATACCGAATAAATAAGAGGCGGTGAGCGCGGCCAGCGGAGCGGTTATTAAAGCAGCTGGAGTTCTCAGGGTGCATATCAATGCACCTGTCATTGCGGTTTGTAACAAAATTTATGACTGCTAGTGCCGTGGCAGTAAACGCTCCGGCCAGGAATGAAAAGGAAAACACTTCCCAAGCCACGGCACTTTCAGAAGTGCAAAGCAGCCGGCGCGTAGGAGGGAGCCCGGCAAAAGAATCCCCTGCTCGGCACGTTTCCCGGCAGCCGGCCCGGGGCAGCTCTGTATATAAGGAACACGCTGGACCCACTGCCGGACCCAGCCGCCGCTCCGGGCCGCGGGCAGGAGAGCCAGGCGATGGTAATCCTCTGCCCTGGGCTGGCTGCCGTGGGCAGTCGGGCACCCACCGCTGGGGCTGGACCTGGACCTAAGCCGGGAGGTCTTGCTCAGAGTTGAGAGCACTGAGAAGCGCGGAAGGGCCCGCGGACAGAGGAGCAGCGGGGGCGCTCCGGTACGGAGCAGTGACCGCCGTGAGGCCTCTTAAATCAGCTTCGGAGCACCCCCACTGGTAGACGTCCGCTCCCCGCGGCCGGGTGCTGGGCAAGGTTGCTCCCCAGCCGGGCTCGGCTCCCTCTGACCCCGCTTTCAGCGGGGCTTCCTACGGGCTGGTATTTACTGGTATAATCTGGCGTCGAAGGCTGTGGCGCGCCCGGCCGAGCAGCGCTTCCCGCTCGGCGGTCCGGCTGCCGGGCCCGGGCTTTGGTCCCTGCGGAGGGCCTGCAGCACTGGGGGAAGCGGGAGGTGGATGGAAAAGGAAACTTAGAGAACTCACCACACTTATGTTTTTTCTTGATTTTTGACTTTAACTGTCTGGGTAGGATCTTCAGGTTCCTTTGGATAATCCGTGGGCACGGACCTGCAACAAAAAATGAGAACTGTCAGCGGAAACTGCTTTGTTTTGGACTTTCTTCCTTAGGACTTTGTTAATAAATGCACATCTCGTTCTCAGCCCCTCACCGTGTCTCTCCGTCCGCGTCAGATCTATTGCCAGACAAAGGGCAGATGTTTCTCTCCATTTGTTAATAGTGCTTTGAGAGATGCGGGGAGCGAAAAAACGCGCAAAATTCCGCGGCTGCGGGTCGTACCCAGGCAGGGCTGCATGTGGCAGCCGCTCCGCCGGGCCCCGAGTACCGACCGCGGAGGGGAGCCGCCTGTGCCTCCCCGATCTCTGAGCCCGGGCCGAGGAGCGAAGGAGAGCAGAGATTCAGCGCACGGAGGAGAGGGACCGCCATTGCATGGGAGCTGAGGGGTCCTCCCCGCTCCCCGTCGGTCCTCCACAGCTCCTGCCTCCCGCAACTCACAGCCCGCGGAGGGCCTTGGGGAAACAGAGCTAGCGCAGGTCTTTCTCCCTTCCTATCCCCCGGACCCCTGTTAAGACAGAGAGAGAGAAAAGCGGAGAACCCCCAGCGCTGAAAATGCCCCGCAAGTATTTGCATCTCGAAATGAGCATTTTGCATTTGGCTGTGTTATGTGTCGACTCAGGACTTTAAGAACTTAAGAGTGTCAGAAAATCCCCCACAAAGAAGCCCAGGTCATTATAAAGACGATATCTAGCCACCATAAGCCTTTGAAATGACCTTTGCCTCGTACAGCAATAACTCACCACTTAATGAACAACCAACGGAAGCGCCTCCAATAGCTCACAACACAACAGACCTTACAACTTTCCACCAAGTCTTCTCTCTCCCTACCCAAACCAAGTAGGATGCAACATTCCCTCTTCTTATCACCTTAATTTATGCTGGCAAACTGGAGTTGGGGAAGTGGAGCTTCATGATTACACATGATGCTCACTCGGATTCTTGGCCTGGGCCTGTCCCGGCAACGTCTTATATAATATATTCACGTGGGTGTACGTCAATTTTAAGTGCTTTATTTTTTTTAAAGACGGGTCATTAGAAATAGCACTTTACAGAGTGTTTGAAGGCAGTGTAAGTGGCGTTGCACCTTAGCCCCTGAGCGGAGAGATCATAATATTGCAAACCGAGTCATTGTTAGCCGCTCTTGATTAATACGGTAAGTTTTCATTTTGTGCCTAATTAATTATCGACTTCTTATTCCTTCCTGAAGCAGCTCCTGAGCCTCACAAGCGGAAGCCTTCTTGGTCTAAACATGTTGTACTTGGTGAGAGCTTGGCCAAATCTCGGGATTTCCACGGCCACAGGAATAGCCCCCAAAATTTGTTCTGTGGCGAGGGGATCCCGGGCACGCTGGGGCTGTGTTCTGCTCCCGGCGCTGCTCCCGCAGAGCCCACCTCGGAGAAGAAGTCGCCAGCGCTAAACGCAGGGAAATCTTTAGAATTATTCAGGCGTGGGCCCAATATAGGTATTATTGAAATTTTAGGTGAAGTTATAAGTGAGTGCTTCCATCGAGCCAAATGAAATGCTGCTTGCAGTAATTGGATTCAGCTGACTAACTTGGCAGGCCAGCAGCTTGGAGGCATAGAGCTAAGAAAAATGTTCACTGCTTTTAACTTCTGATCGAGCAGAGCAACACGCAACAGAAAGGAAAACAAACAAACAAACAAAAAATCACGCCAAACACCCCAACTTCCTCCTTTCTTCCCTTTCCCTCTCCTTCCTGCCCTGCATCCCACTGGCACCTCGGCCCCACTGAGGAGTTGCCGGGGTGGCCGGGGCGACCAAGGTCCGGCTCTGCCCTACACCCACTCCTGCCAGCCTGCACAAAGCTGGGATTTAAGCAGGGGCTGTCTAACAAACATAACCGAGAGTTCACCCCGGCTGCAGGCAGACCACAGACCGGTGGGACAGGCGCTTCTGAGAAAGCCGGGCTAGTTGCAACAGCCCAAGAGGGGGCTGAGCTGCAGATGTGTGCGGGGAGGCTGCACGGCCCCTGTCAGCTCCCCCGTCCACCCGAAGGGACACAGGCCGATCCCCTTGGGCACCTTCCCACCGCCGGATTCATCAGACTGCAAGAATGGAGGGCAATAAACTCTTCGGTACGTAAATATCAAGTCGTGTTTCAGACAGCGTATGTAACTAGGAAGCATGAGCATACCGGTAGTATCAACACCAAAACTACTGGGTGATGAAAACAACAGCCACTGAGGAACAGGAATGCACGGAGAGGGGAAAAGATTTTGGAAGACATTTGGCAGGAATATTTAAGATACCCTATGCAGGGGCTACAATACCGATGACCCTGGTTTAAATCGTCCTTTACAAATCAACACGGTACCCCCTGCCCGGCTACCCACGGCAATGCATTAACGCGATGCTCAATCTTACTTTGGCAATGGGAGCATCTAGCAAAGTTGTCTGCCCCTTGTTCCTTTGATTGTTTGCAATTCCCTTCCTGCAACCAGCAAAAATTGGGAAGAGGATAGGGTTAAACGTCTTCCCCCTAGCCTTTGGGAAGGAGTCTACATTTTCTTTAAGGAGCATAATTAAAAGAAGATACAGCTTAAAGCGTTCATAGAGGGGGAGACCAGTCCATGCATTTGCAGCCTTTATGGGTAGAGATTGCAAACAAATTCCAGATAGTCTCTGAGCAAAGGCAATAATTCAGCCCCTGTGGTTAAAGGTCCCATTTTGTCATGCAGTTGCTTACCTGTGCATCAATTTATCATAAACCTGGACTCCTCACTTTTCAGGATCTGCTCTTGCAGTTCTTAGAATATATCCTTCACCCTTTGTCTGCAGACAATACTCTCCTAAACCTGATCTTGCGGTTTTACAGACATTTCCATACACCAGAATTCCCGATAGAGCGAAAACAAGCTCAGGCTCAACTACCAATAAAAGAGAGCGAGTGGAAATCGGAATTTGTTGGGCTTACAAAAAAAAAAAAAAAAAAAAGAGAGAGAGAGGAAAAAAAAAAAAGTCAACACACAACCCCTCAGCCATCAGCCTCCTGCAACCACAGGCGGCAATTGGCCGGCTCGTGTTTTGTTTTGGTTTTAAATCGTGCGGCCATTGATGAATTTTGGGGGCCAGCAGGAGAAACCCCTTTATAATCAGAAATATAGGCACTGCCTTAAAATACAGGAACAGGGCCCACGTGATCACGGGAGCAGCTCGGCGGCCCGAGCCTGGCGCGCACCCCGCCGCCTCCCGCACCCCTGCTCACCGGGGCCGCCGCCCCGGGCCCCGCGGGACGGGCCGCTCAGCGCACCCCGTATTCCGCGCACTGGCCCGCTCTCCTCCCGGCGGAGCTCCGCGCTGCACCGCGGAGGCCGGCGGCTGCGGCGCTCGCACTTACGCTCCCCGCGAGGCCGGCGGAGCCTGGGGAAAAGGTGAATTCCGCGGGATGATCCCAGGGCGCAGAAATTCCCGGAGGAGAAAGATGAGGTATTTGGGACCGGCCGCAGAAGAGAGCCTGCGCAGGGGGCAGCTCCACAGCAGCGCTGCTCTGGTGGAAAGGCGCTGGGACTCGCTGGCGTGAGCGAATTTTTGCTTTCTCCTTCTCCGTACCGTGAAGATGTGGGGTAGCAGGGACTACCCCTGTCTGGAGGCTAAACAAGCGTTGGGGAAGAAAAAAGCCAAGCCAGCAACCTCATGACATTTGTGCGTGTGTGTGTCTGCCCTGAGCCTGCCTTCCCTCCCTGTGTGCATGAAGCCACATAGAGCAAACCCGAAGTATATTCGTCATGTGTACCCACAAAGCTACCCAACAGTTCCAGTTCAGAAAAAAAAACAAATAAAAAACCAAAAAACACCTATATTAGCTCCTCTGTTTGATTTTTCTAACATATCTGTGGCTATAAATACACTACACCTAATCTAACATCTGCTATGATTTCATTACCATCCAAAGCATGGGGATGTGACAGTAACGTATTACCTTACAATACTAACCGTAAGTGCATTGTAACATTTATCTAAATTAACATTGCTTTTCCTGACTTTGCAAACCAGTTATAAAAAGATTGGAGTCCAGTGATGGAAACATAAGTTCAATGTAAATTATTGTGTACGGCTTCGGATTTATAACCCTATATTTCTTCGAAATGATGCACTTAAATCTCGCCTCAAGTAAGAGGTAATGGTTCTTTATATCCTTTTCCGTCAGCCATATATTTCGGTGTCTGGGTAGTTTTGCAGAGCCCCCCGCGCTCGCGTGTCTGTGTGTACATACAGCAACTCCTACACTCACAGCGTGTTCTGCATATTTGTGTACATACACACAAAGCCGAACATAATTCTGGCCGCTGTTTAGACATTTTGGATGACGGAGAGGTCTTTCTTTTCCTACACAAAAGTGGAGGGAAAAGCTGGGCACCGCTAGAGCAAAAAGCACAAAGAGGATTCAGAAGAAAATGACTTTTTGGAGGGCAGTTTCGACGCACCTGGAAAAAGCCCCACAGCCCTCGGGTGTCTTGTCAAAGTCTAGGGCTTAAAAATAAAAATAAATTACAAAATCTAAAAAAGCGAAATATAATGTGAAAATGGAGGACTGGTGAAAGAAAGAAAGGAAGGAAGGAGCACCTTCACCACCGCCGCCAGAATTAAGACATCGTAAAGGGGACTGAAAAAAAAGCCTATTAAGGAAATGTTAATCCTCTGGCTGGTGGGACTCCAGCTTTCCACGAATTTGTCTCTGGTAAAGGATCTAAGACTTCTTCAATCGGAGCATATGTTCATAGAGCAATAAAACAGAAAGATTTACAGTCTCCGCCCGCCCCCCAGCAGCCTCGCACCCTTTCAGGAATTACTTATGATGATTTATAACAACAACTCCGGCAATTGTCAAACTGATAAAATAGCCCGGGCTATATGCGGGAATAAACGCTCTTATGAAAGGGCTGCGATTTATGTTCGGGTCCGTTTTACTGCGTGTCTTGGTGGAGTTTGGTTTCTTTCCCGGACCAACAGGATAGTATAAAACTTCATTGAT